TTGTGGGAAAACAGTTTGGGCCAGTTCTTAATTCTCTGTAATTGTTGATAATTTTCAAGTGTCTTTACATGAATAAAATTCAGTTACATATTAAATCATAACTTTGGGAGTAACTTTAACAAGAGTGAGCATGCAAAATTTGGCTCAATATTGTTGCATTTCAGTTGCTACAACAACCGAGGCTACTACAACGGCTGTCACAACTACAACAACTGCACCTCCTACAACCATTGTTACTACAACTGTCATTGTCACCTCCACTCCAAAGGCAACAACCATGGAAGAGACAACTACTGTTTCAACCACATCAGAGGCCACCACCACAGGTATGCATTTTGAAGCCAGTACACATTGACAATTACAAGGTAGATCATTACTTTCAAACCAGCTGTGAAAGATGCCTCTCCATACTTGTAGGATTAAATTATTCTGTCATGTACGGTAAGAAGAGTTTAAATTCTCTTCTTTGCCATGAGTTCTCATTAACCTGAAAACCGGAGACCAACTGAACTCGGGTTTTGGCCAGGGGCGTGTTAGTGCGACCCCTAACTGGAAACATGTTTGTGATGTCAAAGCATAATCAGAAACATGTTAAGGGTGGCTCCCAAAAACAAAAAAGCAGAAACAGTTACGTCATCTGACAGAGGCAAGTGCAAGGAAGCAGATGATACTCTTAATGAACATCATTTTCACTCATTCAGCAAGTTTCTTACCGGTGCTGCTCTCTCTTTTCACGAGCAAAATACATACATAATTCCACACCCTGACCTCGCAGGTTCAGAACGCACTGAGAAACAGTCACCCAATGAATATTACTTCTTCAGGAATAATTGAAAAACACGATTGAATGGGAAAGAGAGTCACTGGGAAAAGGTAACTTCTTAAACTTGTTAAGATTACTTCATATTTCCAATCACTAAAATTTTAACAAAAGAGGGACCGAGACCAAGTGAGGAACTTGCTTTATTGATATGATACCTCTCAAATAAAGAAAGCAACCATTGTTATTTTATTTTAAAAATGCAATAAATTCAAAGAACATTAAGTGAAAGTGAGATGAAGTCACACAATTTCTCTTCATCATTCTCCCCTTCCTTTCCTGTTATGTTGTAATGAAATACAAATGCATAATGATCTTACTTCCAAACTGAGGTGATCATCTCTTAAAAATGATCACAGATTTTTTCCCTAACCACTGTAGCCAAGGGGCGCATGCGTGTTCTTTCCAGAATTTTTAATAACTGTCAATAGAGGGCGCCGTCATTCACCGAGATAAATAATAATGTGCTTTTGCCAATGCAACCATTGCAAAAATGTCTTCCCTCTAGCCAAATTGAAAACACATGAGGACTCTAAATAAGTTCTAAAGGCTTGTTTAACTGTTTTATCGATGTGAGTGAAAATAATCTGATAGTAGTCACTTAAACCACTGTGCACAACCAAGTTTCGAAAATGCTTAACCAATGACCAAAGCTGAACAAGTTCATGGTTTGGGTCACCGATACATGCCCCTGGACTTTGAGCATTTCTAACCAGCCACCGTAATGTCCCTCAGGTGATTTTGTTTCCAGTTAAGTGCCGGCCCCAGCAAGGAGCAATTACTTGTGCTTTAATAACCAAAACACATGTAGGGTACACACCTATAGTATTCTCAATGCACGTCAAGATTCATAAAGTTAATAACCAATGTAGTATTATAATGTTCAGTTGTTGTGAAGCCAATAAACCACATGCTCTAGTTTTATTTTTCGAAAATGATGCACAAGTGCTTGACTGCAATTCTTAAATCTGTGGAGCACATTACCTGTAGACCTCTAGAATGGAGGGGTTTTCGACTCAGATCAGGCAGATAATATTAAGAAGGGTGGACTGCCACCTGCGGTGTTTGTGGATTGTGTAATCAATTAACCAGAATCTGATAGTGTTATATTCTCTGCAGATAAACAATGATACCCTGGTTTCAGAGAGGCCCATATTTTTGAAAAAAAAACATTCATCTCATGATTTCTTTTAAGAATATTTCTACAAATATTCCAGCTCCTCCAACAAAAACGGAGCAGACTACCTCTCGGATAACAACAACTGAGGCACCAACAACCACTGCCAAACCAACAACCACAGAGGAAGTCACTACAACTGTTGTCACCACTACGCCTTTGGTAACCACAACAGAGACAACAACTGTCCAGAAAACCACAGGTGTGGATATGAAGCCTTGAAAACTGACATGCTGTAGGGGAACTCAAACTGCCAAGAAATCTTACTGAACTAGGGATGTTTGTAAAGAAAATCACTGAATTAATAAGGATCAAGAACAATTTCTTTACAAATAAAACCGTTCAACAAAATATCCAAAACAAGAACTGAAAGGCTATTCCCAACATTTAACTAAAAACAACCTAAGTCCACAAAAATCAAAACTAAATATGACCTAAACCAAAGAATGAATCCCACATTCCAACGACTGAAAACAGAAAGTGGAACCAAAAATAGACTCCAAAGCCACAGAGTGGGAGAGGCACGTGGGAACCCTGTCTTGTGGGTCTGCTAAACTGAATTGAATATGGCTTGACCATGTGGCAAATCTGAAGAGACAAACAGAGAGGACACAGCAGATTCTCGGTTTGTGGCCCTGCGTGCTCTGCACGCTTTGAATTACACAGTGAAAAGGCTGATTGTTCAATGTAGCATGCGGCTCTACTTAAGCTTCCACATTCCCGTTGCCTCTTTTCAAAGTGGGGACTATTGTGAAGCTGGTGATTATGATGCAAATTCAGTCTTTTCATTTCTGGGCTACACACAAAGACAATTACTATATATACAAGAGCCAGGGTCTGCCTTCTTTCACCGTGTTCGCTCGAGCATGGGCCGAGAATTATAGCTGACAAACGTGCTGAGGATCTCAATTTTTACGGCAGCTCTATCCGCGGCCTGGCGCGAAGGGGGTAACCTTATTTTAATTTTTTATTTTGCATTTTTAACCCATATTTTGATGCTTTTTTGGTTTTATGCTAATGCAATTTGCATATTCATGAGCAGAACTATGATGTTATACAAGGCGCTGACTGTCAAGGTTGCACTGATTTTTGCACAGAAAATTTCTAGGATTTTTTAACCACTGCTATGGCAGATTTTATTTTCTTTGTGTAAGTATATGGCAATTATCTAGCAAAAATCCCTTTCACAGAAATGTTCCCAGATGTAGCAAATTTGGGATTCACAATTTTAACACGAGAACATGCAACCTGCACCATGTCTTCTTCTATTTACATCAAAGCAAATGGCCCTCACTTGTCCAGAAATGCTTGGTCCATTTTTAATGTTTGAAAAAAAAGTGCACCATTCAGTTCACGTTACTCAAAAAGACATCAAACAGTCTTCATACATGGAAGAAGAGTACAGAGATACACAAAAAGTGATTCTAAGAAAAATTCATTTCCTCATTCCTTTAATGATTGTAACAGATGTGGAAAGCAATAGCTAAATGAACTGATATATAATTAAGGTTTCTTTTAGCATTATTGTCTACAATGAACTTCTGTAACAGGTGCGTCAACAACGACTGAGACAACAACTACTCGTGTGACAACCACTGAGGCACCTACAACAACTGCCCCACCTACAACCACCGAAGAAGTTACAATGACAGTTGTCACCACCACTCCTGAGGCAACCACTGCAGAGACAACCCAAGTCCAAACCACTGCAGGTAACTGATTTCTGTTTTAGAATGTTCCACTTTACATGTCTTGATGTTCTGATTAAAGTACATTTACTTTTGCAGGAGCCCCAAAAATACTGGATGTGTGAACTTTAATTATGAATTGATCAGAAAATCTGCTTGGTACTGAGGAAAAACGAAAGAAGATATAACCTGCAAACTGGTTTATATGTCTGCATTTTTCTCCAGGTTCTGCCTCTGCATCCATTGCCATGCTCAAATAAATAAGACTTCCTTGACTTTATTTTTTGGAGGCTGTAAAGATAGCTAGCTATAGATTTATTACAGTGCAGCATAGCACTGTAGTCATGTAGTATAAAGTGATAACTACACAGTCTATTCTTGATTACCCCTTGTGTGAATACAAAAAATTGGTCCACATAAAATTAACTTCAGCGGTCAAAATATGACGGCCCCATTGTAATAAAGTCTCTTGGTCAGTCTCCAACACATTTGAATGGCTTTGGACCTCGAAACATAAAGCATCTACTGACTTTACAGCCCTCAATGCTCTATCCAGTCTGTATATAGAGATCAGCGGATGCCCAGCTTTTATAATCATCAACATTAAAAAAGTTCAATTATGCACATTTTCTTCAAAATTTCACAGTACCTCGTACCACAACTGTGGAGGAATGCGCCGAAAACCTCGACAGTTATCCCCCAGTGGATGTCCAAAGGGAAACCTCTCAAAATCCAGGCGACTATCTTCCTCCGTCATACTGGTGGAATCCCCCGTCTCCACCTATACATGAGATGTATCCGTACGACGGCTCCTACCTGACTGCCATATTTACGCCCAGGGCGCAAGTGACATCAGTGATTATCATCAGCGATGCTGAAGCCATGACGCAGGTGAAATTTGCAGTGAAGGTCCAGTTTAGCCGAGGTGGCCAATTCAGCGAGGTCCACAATGGACAGGAGTACCTGTTTGTTGGCGAGCCTGGCACAAAGATACATCTACCTACCGACTTGTCGTTTGTGTCTGCCATGAGAATCTACATTTTGAATCGTTTTCCAACTGCCCGCTTTCAAATAACTTACAACGGATGTGAAGAAATTCGTAAGTGTTCACCAAGGAAAAGGAAGTCTCTTGTTTTTACCAGCAGCTTTTGTGGCCATTTAAAACTGGCATTTATATCAGAACTTCCAACGTAATATTGTCATGCTTATTTTTCTCACACATCATTACATTTATAACCTAGTGAGGTAACAGTTCTCTAAACACAAAATCTGCCAGAGGATAAAATGTTGTTTCATTTAATAATATTATCTACATACTCATGAAGCATTTATTCGATGGCAATGTAAAGAACATCTTTATATCCACAGTGCATTACTCCGTGAAAGCATTACTGAATCGTGAAATGACTGAACTTTAATCTTTAATCTTAAGTCAGCAAGTGAAACACTTACTTTCCCATTGAAATGTCATTGTGCACAACAGTGACGACAGTCCAAACCACGACGAAAGAGGTGATAAGCGAGGCGACAACACTGAGTCCAACGACAGTACCTTCACCGACAACCACAACACGAACAACAACTATCCTTGCTACAACGCCAGAAACGACAACAACTGAACAGACAACAGTGCGAGCCACAACTGTCCCCTCAACAGCAGGTGAGGAGTGCAGACTGCAATTTCTTCGGATATAGTAATCTCAATATATACCCAACACAACACATTCTGTAAGATTTTCTTCACTGATCGAAAAAATGAAAATGCTAAAAAACCTAATAAAAAAGGGATGCTTTTCTCAGGTGTTGAAACAGCAAATTTTGGCACTTTTTTAGCAGTACAATTACAGCAGTAACAAATCAGCATTTATTTCCATGAGCAAGTTTTCATACAAGACCCGGTAATGTCGCCTTCATTTGACAATAATCCAAACGCATTTATCAAAGGGAGTAAAAGTTGAGACAAAATCTAAAGTTTCAGTTTTTCTCATGTCTCCTTAACATGCTCAGCTCCGACAGCAGCCACAATGACGACTGAAACAACCATCACCGAAATCATGACAAGCAGCCCAACAGCTCCACCAGTAACAACCAAGAGAGCAACAACTGTAATCACAGCAACACCTCAAGTCACCACCAGAGTTCAAGTCACAACACCAAGTAGGTTGACTATTATTTTAAAGGGTCTGTGTAAAGAAACATTCTTCAATAAACCCATGAAAATGCCTCTAAACTAATTTCAAATTTGAATTTGTTCACTGATTTAAGAAGCATTGTGATACCTTTTTGGATAATGCTAATGAGTATTTCCACATTCATGAGCAAAACTGTTATTTCATCCTTTGGAAAAACCCTCAATGTTACATCTATAAGGCCAATTCACAATTGTGTGCCTCCAAGAGTTTGCAACACGTTGGTCAATCACAGCGTGGAATATCTGTCGATTCTCTCCAAATGCGCGCATTGGGTCAACAGATTTTGTGCATTATGATTGGCCAGTGCTTCGCAAACTCTTGGAGGCACACACTATTGTGAAATGCCCGTATTGTGTACAGAAAAGTACTGGAATTTGTCATATTTAACTTTATGATGCTCTTGTCTTTAACTAAACAGAGATTCTCCTTATAAACTGATAAATTTCCAGAAAGCCGTCTTCCTGTTGCAGTTCTTACTTGTTACAAATCAGTGAAATGCTGTCAAAGAGCAAATTTGGTTTTACAATTTTAATAGAGTAACCTGTGAAGTTGACAAACAGCACAGTGTCGTTTTTATAAAGACACATGTTTATACATTTAATCCCAAAGGCATATCAAATATTTTTCATACAAAGAAGAGGAATATAATGTTTGCACAAAAAGCACCTGTTAGAAAAACTCATTTCTAGGCCCCTTAAAAGTAAGGAGGAAGTCTCATAAAACTGTTTAGCGTATAGATTTACTCATAAAAAAATACCTAATTTTGGAAATGCTTTTGTTGGAAATAGTTCTTACATCATTTTTGCTTAACAACACAAATTTGTCAAGCAATTGACTTTAATATGGTCATTTTCATGCCCTTTTGACAGTCCTACTGAATGTTGAGCTTGAAATTGTTTGTCTCAGATTTTGTGCATATCATCCTGCGTCCATTTTGTAATTAGACAATATTTCACAGCCTGCATTGATGCCATTCAATCAAAATGGGTCAATGCTCTCTACTGTTTGACTTTCATGAATCTAGGATTATGTTGATCCAATAGGAACATATCCTTGATTGGTACTAAAAATTGCACATCTTCGAAATGTTTGGCATGATACATCTTATAATAATAATAGAACTAGCGTTATTTCCATATGGTGGCCATGTCTTCTATTAGATTAAAAATTATCTTCTTTGTTAAAAAAGGAGATAATTTTTAATGGGCCATCTCTCAGTGTTAAGCTTGAGTATAAAAACATATATCTTATTCAATTTCACATAGATACAAATTATTATTATTTAATGATAATAAAACTATTAACAAAACATTTTTTTAAAAATCATTTGAAAATTATACTACTGAAAAAATCTGTACAATTCAATCACATAAAAATCACATCACATAGAATAGATTAACAAGAATCAATTAACTATAAGATTATTTCTCTGTGTTCTCCGTTTTTCCTCACTCTGAATAAAACTCATCCCCTCAGTTCTTTGGCTGTGCTCCTTGGGCAGATGCGGATGATTTGACAGCTGCCCAAGGCACCTTTACATGCATTTGGCTGGACCACATTGGAGCTTAACACTCCTATGCTGAACTCACACTTTGGGTTAGTTGGTAAGCCACACAAAGATGCACAGCTGTGCTATATAGTGCACTGCACCAACTATCCCTCACAGGAATATCAGATTGCACTTTTGTGTTGTCCAACAAGTGTGTGTCATTGTCTCATGTGCATAATTGTGCAGTAAACCAGCTGCAGTGAAGAAGATTGGCACAAAAGAGCCAGTGTCATAGTTTGCGGGCAACCAGCCGTATACACACCAAAGCTTTGTATGTTTGTGTTCCATATAGAAAACACATGCACAAGAGTGACTGTTGGCACTCATGCTGCTACAGTGCATTGGAACAGAATTGTACGTAAGTTGCTATTTGTAAATGAAGAAATGACTATTATTTGTTGTTGCACATGTCAGATTGTGACCCACTGGAGTATGAGCCATGTGCCTGTCTTCGAACCTGTGAGGACACAGAACCTAAGGAATGCCCTGAGCCTGGGTCCCCACTCTGTATCCCGGCATGTAGTTGCCCACCAGGACAGTACTGGGACAAAGAACGCTGTGTTCCTGAGTGCCCTTGCGACGACTATGAGGATCATAAGGTTATCTTGAGTGCTTTATTTGGAAGTCCTCCTTCTTCTGTTTCAAGGTTCTCTACAACACAATCTTTTGCCACAATCCTTTAAAATGTACCTTTGTGTTTGAGTTAACCGTATTATCGGTTATTTTTCTTTTCTTCTCTTTTGTACTTTGGTGCCATTTTTGTTTCCATGTTTATGTCTAATTTCATATTCAAGAGCAAAACTTTGATGTCATTCCAGGGAGAAACCTCCATGTTGCATTGATTTGTGGAAATAAAAAGTGCAGGAATTGTTTATATTTTTCCCTTCTGAGAGCAACCATCTCTTGAAAATGAGTAAAATTTGGGTTCAAAATTTGAACAGAAAAGCCTAGAAACTGTTGCAGTGCCTTCCCTTATTGACATCACAGTGCCCTGAAAAGTAGAAAAGAAAAGAAGTCATCAGTTTAAATGTTTAAAATAAGCACTTTAACGTTTAACCCCCAAAGATTTCAAATTATTGGTTTTCATACACTGGAGAAGAGCTGCATTAGTGTGAAAATTGTATCAAAGAATACTTCTATCATAATCTAGAGAATTTTTAATAATGTCTGTGGAGCCTAAGGTATTGGTATTGGTATTACACAAATGAGTAACTGAGTTTCTCTTTCTTGAGGAAAGGATTTATAGGATTATAGAATGTTTCAGAGATGGTGGTAGTGTTAGGCAAGGTAACCCCATCCACTTCCTTTTTGAGTTTTTTTCCTTTTTTATTTTACCTGAGGAAGGGAAACCTGAGGTGGAAAAGTTCAAAGTTACACACTGATTAAGTAAACGTGTAAAAACCCTTTCAAGTATGTTCAATTCTCTTACTTGACATGCCACTTTAATTTTTGTGTCTGTGAATGGTGGAAACACTAACCATTAAATTTAAAAAAAAACAATGGCAATCACGTTGAAAATAAAAATACCCGAATGCTAAGCATGTTTTTGTTTCATGTGACAATTTTTCATCATTCTAAACAGAATGAAGACCACTGGAATAAAACTGAGTGTGTCCTGTGTAAGTGGATTGACAAAGATCTCTGCTTAGTAAGCTGTGGTGAAATTTGCCCTCTGAAGCCGGGTGATTGCGATGACGATGTAAGTATTAACTGCTCAGACTAGTCCAAGTAGGCAAGGGTGTATCCAGTGGGGGGGGGGCATAGCCAATTGCCCTCAAGGAGACATAATCTTGAAAATGCCAGCATTTTAGAACCAGTTCTTCCACGTCTCTGTGAAAAGAGGAGTGGGATAACGAGGATCATCTCTCTCAGATGATCAAGTCATTCTAAGGAAAATCTCCATTTTACCCCCCCACCCAAGTCCTGGAGACGCCCTACTAGAGTAGGCTTTTGACAGAAAGAGAGACACAAACAGTATCACTGAATAGTCCTTAATGATGAGCAGTCATATGGACACAGTCAATAAAATGGATCCTGTTTGTCATCTCTGTGGGGTCAGAGGAACCCCATACATACAGGTGTTTCAGCATACATGTGCCAGCATACATCACAATTGGCAGCACAGTAGCTGTATATAAATGAATTACGTGTGCGTTGAACGAAGGCACTAGTTCCACTTCAAGAATTGGTATAACCACATTTCAAATCACAATTTTTGGATTTTTTCATTCACGATTTGGTTTCAATTTTTTTTGTTAAATGACAACATACTGTACGCCGCTTCTTCCCCAATCTTCTTTGTCTTAATATTTTGCATGCTGTCAGCAGGTGTGACAGTGATTTGAAAACTTGGCTTCGGTCAAATAGTACAGTGAACAAAGAAGAATTTGGGACTGAAAAGTGTTTTTAGTTTTATCTGATATTCCCACAACTCTCCATAAACCTTGCAGAAACACTTGCAAAGTTGGTGTTTGTGTTTACAGTACAGTTCACTGATCATTAAGGACAGACACAAGTTACACGAGCTGTAGACAGATATCTGGATTTTAGCTATCTGCTTCTTGCAGGAAGAAGAGAAAAACATTTATTGTTGAGACCATCACAAGACCAGACACAAGACTTTTTAGGATACCAGCAAGCAACAGGGTAATCAATTGTGACAAAGGCCTTTGTTGCAGTTCATCATTTGAAAGCTTTTTACCTACAGGAGTGATGTCCCTCTGGTAGGAAAACACTACTCTCACCTGCAGATTAATGAGCATTTGGCACAGAGTGCGCTGAACATGCGTGCCCAAGTTCTGTCTAAATGCATAGTCTTCACTTGTGTGTCGTGGCAAAGTTGAAATTTTTCACACCAGCGTGTCCATTCTTTGCCATTGAGGAGGGGACTTCCAGTCAGAGTGGATTAGTCTGTGAAAGAAATGTCTGTGTTGCAGCCACAGTTTTTCTCTTTTTAGCAAAAGCTCATGCTTTGTTTATGTATTGTTAGTAATTTGATTTGCCTTCAAACTTCAGAATTAGTTTTCAACATGGTCCTTCTCTCTGGGAGGTTGGAAATGTTTAATTGATGAAGCATTAACATAACAATAGCGCCCTTGCCAGATTTATCTTGTTAACTTGCTTTCAGACGAGTACTTTTTATTCTGTGAAATTACATTTTGTGTGATACTTAGTGACCCAGTAAACACCTCGGCAACTGGAATGGCCAGACCATGGCAAACTTTTAGCACATGTGGCAAAGTGTTCTTTTCCCCTTCACTTTGCTCACAACCAGCAATCTGTTTTTCACTGTGATGATACCTAGGACGTTTGTTCCATTTCTGTGGTTGTATTTTAGGAAGAGCTAGTTAATGAAAAACCACACGATGAAAGATGCTGTCACTGCGTTCCCAAAGGTATGTTCTGTTCTACATCAACCACTGAATTGATAATCTGGCTGTAGCGATCTATAAAAAAATCAGGAGAATAAAGAGGCATCCTTACAATGGTAGCTGTATTAAGCTTCATCTCATTGGAAAAGTGTACATGATTGCAGTTTCAATTAATTTGTTCTTCATATCAACATCAAATTCTCCTCAGTTTGCACTTGATTAGAAATACAAAAAACTGAATTTCAAACACACAATATAAAATAGAAATGTAAAAAATTAAGTTAATAAAAATGTTAGAACTTAAAAATACCATTAAACATTCACTAAGCTAACAAAATAGGCCATCAATTCAAGGCATTAATTGTTTCCATTGTTATTAACATTTGTATGCTACTGTTACTGGCGTTAAGTAAATGTTTGTGGAGATTATCTGTTGAAGATGATCCAACTTGGCAGCAAATTTGGTAATTTGAGTTACTTTAATTTCATTTCATTTTCATTCAGTTTTAATTTTATTGCAGATCGTTGTCAGTATGAAGGCGACAATTATTGGGAATACAGAGAGGTAACGCTATTAAGTTTTGTCTGAACTTTTTGTCAACAAAAGATTCTGACATTTTGGAACTAGTGGCAATGTAATCATGGTTTTACGCACACTCCCGCACCATAGTTGTGGGGACGTACACTTGATATTTCACCTATTTTGTGGGGACCGAAAACATTGTGGGGACTCAGAAATGTCCCCACAACTCGATTCACATTTCCCTAACAATAGAGCTTGTCCCCATAGAGTTCCATAATTTGGGGCATATACATGTACAGTAATCAATACACTATGCCCATCAATAAAAACTTCCCAATGATGCAACGGGGCCTACCCTCACATCCCTGTTCTGTGGTTTTGGGGGCATTGAAAAGGTAGCTGTTATATTGACCCAAAACATTTTATTGATAAATTTTGCATTCCTTCAACATAATCTTGACTTTCCTTGTATAAGAATGTCCCCTTAATGCAGTGACTGCCTACCCAGCATGGTATTTAAATTCTCGCAACTTATCAGACTTAACTTTCCTGAAAAAGAAATCTTACCCTCAACAGAGTGAAGGCCTACCCACTATATATGCTATGCATGCCCTTGATATATCTCACAGCAAACATTCTCTGTGCTGTTGTGGTGCATTTTATTAGCAGTTCGAAGTTTGGAGCATACAGATTTTCCGACATTTAGGTATACATGATCTTTTTTTTTCAGTTCTCAGAAATTTATGACACAAAAAGACTGTTTTTTTTCTCTAGGTGGTGGGATGTTCAGTTCCCTGAAGACAATTTGTTTAAGTGAGGTTTATGTTTTGTGTACACTCCCGCAGCCTGGCGAAATATGGTACCCTGAAAAATGTATGCAGTGCGAGTGCAAAGAGAATGGCAATGTGATTTGTAAGGAATTCATATGCCCACCCTGCCATGTAGCCACGTGAGTTCAGCGTCACTTTCCTTTCTTCTCTCAACTACTAACAGACACATTTCTTGACATTTTTCTGGTTTCGTACTCCATAAGTGTCCTTGAAAGTGCACATTTCAGTTACTTCATATATTTGTTTTCTTATTTTTGACTTGTATCTGACCACGTTTTTGGTTTTCTATGTTAATGGAAAGATCCATATTCAAGAATAACACAGAGATGTCAATCGACAGAGAGAACTGCAATGTTGCATTGATTTTGGCACAAACACTGCTGGAATCTTCCACAATTTGTTTTTCCTTGCAGAGTCATGGTTGTGTATTGAACAGTACATGCCAAGAAGCCAATGAGCTACCAGATTTCAGAAATGTTTTCAATGAGGAAGTAACTTTCGGTTTAGCCATTTGAATAGTCTTTTCTCCAGATGACACCACAGTGACAGCACCCTCAGTTGGCTGTTAAAACATGCAGTTTTTAATACACTTACCCCAAAGAGATGTCAAATATGTTGTACATTAAAGAAGAGACTAACATATCACATGGACAGTCTACAAAATGCTTACACATGTTTCTTATTCTAATAGCCGATCGAAGATCCACACGTCTGCTGTCCTTACTGTCGTAAGTGTTTCTTTATGTTTTTCACTGGAAACACAGATGTTTGGGGCACTCAATAAAAGCTCTCTGTTAACCCCATCTGTTTCCTTAGTGCTTTTTTCGTCTGAAATGGACACACTTTCTAAGACTATTTTGGCATCAGTCCCATGACAATCTATGTAGATAGAGGGAACAAAATAGCCTCTTTCTTTTTGAGAAATATGCTTTCCAGCAGGTCATAGAGCAAGGTGATTTCCAATATTGGATGTACATATTCATTCTCCTTTCCAATGACATATTATGAAAACATTTTTTTCTGCTTTGACACCAGCACCAACCGAACCGCCAACTACCGTAAAAACCACCACACTGCCGCCAACCACAACACCTATGGTCACAACCCGTGGCAAAACAAGTAATGTCTCTTTTTTCACTTTTGTCTAGTGTTTAATTTATGGCCTGATTATAGGCCTACAAAATTAGGGAAGTAGAAGAAATTTAGGGCCTTTGAAAATACCACTGTTGGCCACAGAACAAAACCACACAAAAATCAGAAAAGTTTTTAAAAGTTTTAGCATCTTTCACTGAAATTTTGATTTTCGGGATGTTTCAAACTACAGTAGACATTAAAATAGCTTCACACAGCTCAGCACGAAATGTAAGGCTCCACTGCTTACCAATGCCATGAAATTAGTAACTATACTTAGGGCAGTGGAGGGCCCACGGAACACAAGTGCCCATAGCTTTTAAAAACCATATGGGCATTTTCAGGAAGAATGCTTTCTGTTACTGTTGCGAGAGTAATTCACACTTAGTTCATATTTCATGTATTAGACTCATTTTCCAGTCACAGCAAAAGCCGTTCAAGAATATTCAGTGTGCTGAAAAAGTGTTGAAAATACTGCATACTTCTGTCATTCCATTGAAGTAAAATGCATTCCTCAAGCTGGCTGATGAAATTTTTTTGAATACGCTAAAGTAACATTGAAATATGCCCACTTAGACCAAAAAACAATGGCCTTGATGATTTTTATTATTTTAGGGGATTTTTATGAGGAAAAAAAGAATGCAATTAAAGAAAAAATGACATTGCGACACCCCTGCACACTTTCCTTGGGCTGTTCACCTTTTTTGCCCATTTATGAGAAAGAAACGGTCTGCTCAGCTTTCTTAGGTTTTTAAGTTGTGTTCTTTTGTTATTATCATTCTATATCCCAGTCTATTCTATGCGAGGAAAGTATCTGTTGTCTTTGTACCATTTCAGCCTGCCCAGATCATTGCCATGCTCCTGAGATACCCTGCGAAGACAGCCAGTACTACTTTGGAGGCCCCCCACCATTTGAGGAAAATTTCTTCTGCAATCCTATTTTCGGACAAGTCGATGAGGACTGCGAGTGTAAAGAGGGCTACTATAAAGATGGGGAGGAGTTTAATGATAAATTTCTGTTCAACTATGGCACATCAATGTGTTTGAAACCAGAGAGGCCCTGTGACTGCAAGGATGAAGAGACAGGAAAACATTATGGGGTAAGCCAGACTTGAACCCTAAAGACGTAAGTAGTCATTCCTGAGAAAGTAACTTGCTGTAGCAGTTGAGTCGGGCCTGTTATGCTCTCTGCCACTTTGCCAGACACTCTGTTAACATGGTGTGTTTTTTAAGGTGCATTTTAAAGCTGTTTCAAGTAACAGAAAAAGTTACTTTCATCCCTTTTATAGAACCCTATACGAATGTTAATGTTACCTCAGAGAAAATGCATATCAAACAATTTTTGCATCCTTATTTGCGTGCATGATTTGATTCGCAGCAACTATGTAATTTTTTTCGGTCATTTCATTCATACTGCAGTCATGGACATCAAGGCAGCAAACCAGGGACGTAAACGTTTGCACCCTTTAACCAAATTCTTACTGAGATGTAACAACTGTTAACACTGTCTGATACATAGGTGGGCGACAGTTTCATCAGAGGGGATTGTGAAATCTGTACATGTGTGCAAGTCGTAGCAGGATTCAAGCTGGTTTGTGTTGTGGATGGAACTCTCCCTAACTGCACACTTACAACAACGGGTGAGTTCAAGTCTTGCAGTAGACCTGCACCCAAGAAGCACTAAGCTATCCAGACTTTGGCACAGAGTGTAGAACGAACATCACACATGAAGGTTTTAAGTTGACACAAGTCAATGTAGCGCCCTCCTTTTCTAAATTCTCTGACTTCATTTGCAACATCCTTTCTGATTCTGATTATCGATTTCATGTATTTGTTTAAAACAGCAGAGACAACAACGGCCAAACCCCCCACTACCACCAGTGCACCAACCACCACAGGTACACGCTGTTTCTAATAATACCTCCACACCACCACACTATGTTTGCACATGCATAATGCTAAACTTGAAAAGTTAAAATGGATAGTCTGCTTACTTTCTAGATTCAAACTGGGAAATTGCTATTGTTAACATTTCTGCAGATAAGAGAATATAATATTTATCTGTTTTATTGCAATTACGTTTTACAGTGATTCCACCGCCAACCACAACACCAGGCACCATTCTCCCAACATCCCCCATTATTCGGCCACGTAAGTTATGTCCATTTTATATTTCCTGCCAAATGACAATCGGCTTTTTATATTCTTGTAAAATTCTCTCCTACTTTGTAACTAATGATTTTTCTTGCTTAAATAGTGGAGCTTTCCTTCTTCGAACAGGAAGATCAGCAAGTTATTGCCTTCAGCAGTCTCTATAAACAAGGATGTTTTATTGTTTAGTGTACAATGAGTCTGTGCTTATTGGTTTCACTAATACCATACACTTTCATTGTTGAAAGAACAGACACTAATTTTGTTTCTTACCTATTTGGAATAACTTCATTCCTGGTGAAAGTAATTTTAAAGAAATTTTGGGTTTTGTGATTACAGCCTTGAAAAAAATAGGAGTCACCCAAAAAAATAAAAACAAAGTTTTAATTACTGTTTTAATATATTTCCAAATAAAATATTTTCATGTGATTTTATCGTTATGATCCAGAAGCAAATTGATAATTGGATGCTTTTCATAATGTTTCCTTGCATAACCCATAGTCATTCAAATCAGGTTGCATATGTATTGTGCAGTCTTAATGTAATTTTTTATTAACTTCAGTGGTAACAACTTCGGTCAACATTCCCATAGGCTTATGTAGAGACTTTGGCACATTTGAACTCTAAAAACAAATCCATCAAACCCAACCAAACTTCGTAAATCCTTTGGCATGACCCGGAACAAGCAAATTTTCCGAAAAAAAGGGAAAAATGTGGTCTGTCCCTGGTACTAAAATGTTAGGGAAACCCTGAAATGCTTCCTTAAATGTTGTTCATCTCCCTTAAGGTTGGTAATTTGCCACAAAGTGCCTCTAAAAATAATTTATTTGTGACCAGCTCTAGAAAAATGAATACTTAGTTGCCAGATTCAGGTTTTAATTTTTGATATGGCTGGATTTTGTACATCAATAGCTAAAATTTGATATATGAATGACCCCTGTAGTGCACTGTGTTCGTGAGATATATAGACATTTGTATATCAACATTGTCAGATTAAATAAAAGCCCTTTTCAAGAAAAAGCTCATTAAGTGTAACACTTGGAAACACAATGCTGTATAGGATTTTTTGCTGAATGATCAGAATTTCATCTTTATTCATCAGTATCCATGTTTACAGTCATAAATCTAAATAGAACAAATAGAACAGGCCATTACGTGTTTTGGCATTGCATGACTTAATACCCTTTTTTGCAGAGAAGGTCACATTTAGTAATTTAATTTGACAACTGCACTGTATTTTCAAAGGTTTATTTTCATTTCTAACATCTTCTTGATTTCAATCTACCATTCAAAGCTATATACTGCACTTCTCATTTCCTCTTGAACAGCTTGTGATGATGAGTGTTACGGACAACCTGTGATTCCATGTGAGAAACAGACTTTGGATTACTACTGGTCAAGTAACGGATCCCCTCCCTTTTTTGTCAACATCTTTTGCTCACCGTTTGTCCCTCGGCCCACGGGTGGGTTCACCATACCTAATTATTACAAGGATTGTAACTGCAGCGAGGGCTACTACCGGGACTACAATAACCTCGCAGACGAAAAGTCCCTGGTGTACGTCATCGGTTTCACGTGGGAAACCTACATGTGTGTGGAGATTGAAAAACCGTGTCGTCCTCCAGGACCCTGCCCCTACAATGACACACTGACCCTTCAGGTACTGAGGCTACCCCAAGCTAGTATTTTTCCTTAGTCTAATTTTTAATGTATCTTTTTATGGTTATTGTCTATCTTTCTTAGAAGTTTTCCCTTTCCATTCGGTTGTGCATCTGAGGTAGAGTATTTTGCACGTAATGAGTTTTCAGCGGAAGATACATGCATCTCTGTAGTTTAGTGCAAAATTCTAATATGAAAATTGAAGGAAATTTTGTTGTAAGTGGCCCACCTCAAATATTTCATGCCAAAAGTTGCATATTATTGAAGAATTGAGTCCAAAAAGCAAAAGGCTTTATGGTGAAAGCTTCGGGAACAAATACAAGTTAACCCCTCGACTACGGGAATTTCTTCCCGAAAGCCAACTCCAAGAATTCCAGCCTCACTTGGCCACGAAGGCTACCTGCCAAACCGCAAAGTCTCGGTTTGTGGCCCTGCGTGCTCTGCACGCTTTGAGTTACTGGGTGAAAAGGCTGATTGTTCAGTGGCATGTGGCTCTACTCACCCTTCCACATTCCCGTTGCCTCTTTTCAAAGTGCAAAATCGTTTTTTTCATTTCTGGGCTATGCACAAAGACCAATTACCATATATACAAGAGCCAGGGTCTGCCTTCTTTCACCGTGTTCGCTCAAGCGTTGGCCGAGAATAATAGCTGAAAAGCGGGCTGAGGATCTCGATTTGTACGGCGGCTCTCTCCGCATCCCGGCGCGAAGGGGTTAAGACTGCATCTTTTAAAGTGTCATTCAAACTTAATACTATTATTCATGTTTCTTGCAGAAATAAAGAAAATTGTCTGAATCTGTGGCCTCTTTCTGTTTTATTGCAGCCCGGAGAGTCGGTCGTGGAAGGATGCAAAAATTGCACATGTGAGCTGCTTCCAGGTAGCACTTCTGGCGGTTACCATTTGAAGTGTAGACCTATTCCAGGATGTACTGTAACTCCAGGTATCTTTCCCCAACATATTGAGTTCAGGAATTTCTTTGCCACAAACCTTTGATCATTTAACATTCCTGGCACAGACTCCACTTGGCCTAAAATACAGTGACTCACTTTATGAAAAGTGCTTCTTACACATTTTTTACATACACAAAATACTGATTATTAATACTTTCCCCATTCCCTAAATCGATGTTAAACAAGAATTTTTCAACCAAATATGTTGACTCATCGAAGTAAAAAGCAATATGAATTTCAGATTTAAAGAAAGCAACAAAAAGGTCAGCTTGTTTTCCAAATGTTTTTTAGACCATGTTAATTTCCTCAAAGCTTGGATTAAGGATATTTCTGATAGGGAAATAGTTTTAGTACATGACAGATTTTTGACTTTTTGCAAATGTATGCATGTCACTTGCTTTTAAATGAAATTTTCCATATTGTTGCAGGAGTTACAACCACTGTAGTAACAAGGCACACAACAACTCCTGTGAAAACAACCTCACCTAGTAGAACTACCACCATCAGAGCAACAACACCAGTAAAGACTTCAATCATAACAACTCCTGTAAAAACTGTAACTCCCATTATGACAACTATACCAACAACTACGCTGTTCAAGACAACATCACCATTCGTCACTACCACACCTGTAAGGATAACAACGCCGCTTATCACATTGGCGCCAACAACTGCTCCTCCAATAACCACTGCATCTCCAACAACTACTCAACCTCCAACAACTGTAGCGCCAACAACCACTACCACTCCAACCACCACTGTAGCTCCAACAACTGGAGCTCCAACCACCACTTCACCTCCGACAACTGAAGCTCCAACCACCACCACACCAACCATTGCACCACCAACAACTGAAGCTCCAACCACCACTGCACCTCCAACCACCACTGCACTTCCAACCACCTCTGCACCTCCAACAACTGAAGCTCCAACAACTGAAGCTCCAACCACCTCTGCAACTCTGACAACTGAAGCT